GTAAAATTATCATTACGTAAAATCTGCAATTTAGTATGAAAAATCATTGTATCGATTAATCTAACATAAGTAGATTGATCGATAATGGTTGGAACGAAGATCGATGAATTTAGCTTTTCGGATCAATGTTGATGTACATCGATGTCTCTTTATCAAAAATCGATACATGGTCGATGCATCGCAAAAAAAACTTCGATGCATCGATGTTTTAAAAAATTAACTTTCCATAGAAAAAAAAACGATTATTAGGGAGAAAATCAACAGCGATGTTTGAAATAAAAAATGTTTATATATCAAGAGAGACTGTCATAGTATTATACTTAATGTTGTTAATCAAAAAAGTACTCGGAATATTGACTTTTGATTACTTGTATGGCTTACTTAAAAAAACCGATTATATACAGTTTTAACACCTATTAAGCATATTAAGTGTAAAATAATATACGAAAAAAAGATCAAATAAAAACTAAAATGTATATTACAAAATACACATTTTAATGAAAACATCAAATAATTTATAATACAAATATACCTTCTTCGGTTAACCACACAAAGAAATATGACTAACCTTCGGAAAAGATCGATGCATCGTGGAAAAAACATCGTCGATGCTCGATACATCGATGTTTTTTTACATGGACCGACGGATCATTTCGCACTTACATCACTAGCTTGAACATACGAGAAGTGCCATAATTATATACTCGTGTAACAAAAGGCGGCATGCTAATGTTTACATGCACTCAAAAAATGAGGCAATAAAGTGCTAATTTAAATCAACAATTTGTTGCAGCTGTGGATCTAGTGTTAAGTCTCTTGACCATATTGCATGCAAAATATCAAAATATTGATAAAATTCTAAATTCTAATTTGCGAGGAGAATTGTGAACTAAAATGTAGTGACCAAAATGTCTATTTCATTAAACTAAATATTTATCGTCAAGGAACCGAACTCGATAACTTATTAAAGCCTATGAAACTTCCGGCCGAATTCCGCTCCATATACGCATTAAACATATATGTATGCAGTGTTATTATCGGTCTCCGATTGTTCATTTTTTAATATTTTTTCTCTACATACAAATTGTGCCGCCTTTGAGTCGGTTATCAGCTTTAAAGCGTATCGTTTGGCGCAGTTTACGATTCTCCACGATGACGTCGAGGATTAAAGCAGCAACAACAATTCGACTGCAATGCGTCGGTAAAACGAGCTCTCGAGGCGGCTGTGTTGACATTTTGGTCTTATCACATGGATTGGCGACTATTTGACTGGGTCGGCTATCTAAGGCCCCCATATTCACGTGCTTAGCAAATATTTGTCACATCAATCAGCTGCCTGTCTCCGCTGTTTATAAGACATGTTTCTTATGTGTTTTCTTTCCTTTTATGAACTACGTCAATATCTATTTTTGAAACGAGGAGCATGCGCGCATAAATTAATTCTGTTGCCATTTAGCTGAATATTCTTGAGAACATTCTGTTGTTGGCGTGAATATAAAATACAATATCGCAACAGTAAATGTAAATTTATGACATTTCTAAAAAAAAAATTACTTAACACATTAATTTTTAATGCTTCCACAAATGTTTGGGCTAATTTAACTAGCAATGACAAATGCCTATAAATAAAATGTCAAGTGGTCTCAAAATTAATGAGTTGCGAAGATAAAGATTGTCAGCACTCAACAACTAAAATATTAATCAAAAGCCAGTTTAGTGAAAATCAAAAAGAGAATATAGTTCTGGATATTGAAACGTAAAACTGAGAGCGCAGAACTTGCAACGCATCGTTTCAATGGCCACTATTTTTATAGAAAATGCAACCCACCAGTGGTAAAAAAGGCTAAAAGTGATGTGCCTAGAAAAAATGACATGTAACATTGACATTTAAATAAATACTTTGAAAAGCGTACTTATTAAGGAAAACCCAAAGTCAGAAGACAATTCAATCCAAATATATTACTCCTTTTGGGCGAAATCTTTCCAAAACTTTATATTAGTCTCCAAGGTGTTTGCAAATTTAAGCCGTCTATTTTAAATATAAGTTCTACAGCAAATTATTGCAATAGCAAGCAATATTATAGAAAACTCCACACATCATTGGTGAAAAAATGTGGCTAAGAGTTGTAATCAACTTTTAAGAGCAATATTCATTTTCAAAACAAGCTCAGTAAAAATTTCTAAACTTTTTTTTGGTTGGTAATCGTTTCAATAGGCACTAATAATATATAAAATTCAAGCCACCAGTTCTACGGTGCTAATAGTTTTAATATGCTTTTATAAATTGAGTTCTTTTAATGATAAGTAAATAAATACTATTTCAAAACGTGTGTAGCAAATTTCGAGTAAAATGCAATAGAAAGAGTAGAGAGAAGAGATTATACAAAGTTGCTTTCATCAATGCACCCGCATATTTTAGCTAAAGAAGCCACCAAATTAGAAGAAAATTAAACCACTTGTGAATTGTTTCTATAAAAGATCGAGCTGCTATCCTTTGCCACTTTTTAACCAGGATTTGTCTTCACTGTGGGCCTATTTTTCTATCAATTCTCATTCTATCTTCACTGTATTCAGCTGCCTTTTTCTAATCAGCGATTGAAAACAACACAGATAAGTGCCGAAATTTAAAAACTTATATGTATCTGCTGATAATGGCAACTGAATAAAAATTAATGAAGGACGGAACTGCGGGTCGTTGTTTCTAATCGATAATTATAGGGTTCTCTACTTGATTATATATTTTAATTTAAAAATTGTTATCATCTTTATTACAAAACATTTCAAGTTCCATTTATCCTTCAATGTTCCACAAGGCCACAATTACAATTCAAAGTACTTCATGCACTCGTAACCAATGTTTCTAATTCATTATGCAAGAAAAATTGAATACAGCTGATAATGAACATGCGCCGTCCGATGAATGAAACCAATGTACGTATTGAATTACAATAAATAACTAATATTTTTTTTATGGTAATAACAATAATTATGGCAAACGCAGCAACTATTGTCAGCAATTTGTGAATATTGCAATCAAAATGGAAACAAAGTCACGAACTGTGTTCTGCCAAGTGTGGCAAAGAGGGCAACCTTGAGGGGCATGGGGCAGGAAATGGCAAACACTGCACTGCAGCGTAGTTGTGTTGGCAAGACGACGAACAGATTGTGTTTACCAGATTCCCACAGCCTTTGCAGGTATAGTAAATAAGTCTAAGTCATAGTAAACAAATCAGTTTTATCTCACAATGAAGGGAGTACAAAATATCAGCACAAGATAATCAGCGGAACAATTATGTAACTTATTTTTATCAACCAGAAAGCAATCAAAATATCAGCATGCGAGAGATATAATCTATATGTACAATTGGGCTGGCTTATTTTATCAACCAGTTAGAGCTTGGAAAAACCTACATATGAAAAGACAGATAACTTTGGTATGGAAAACCCCAATAAGTGTTTTATATTTTGTGCCTAAAATGTTTTTGTGGGCGTTTGGGTATTCTACTTGGATTTCTCCCATCTTGTGATTTATTTTTTCATTAGTATATAACTTGATTAAATACCGACGTTTTTATCAATTCTAACATTCTGAATGGCGAATTCTGTCAACAAGTCGGAAGAGATATTAGATATTCATGTGAATTACTCGATTTTTTATATTTCGGCTTTATTAAATATTTGTCAGCATTCAATAAAATAAATTGAATACAAATTTCGTACTTCAATTGAAATTGATTGACAAGTTAAAACGTCGGTATTATCCACAACAATTTGAAACGTCATTTAAAGTAACAGGTTAGTGTTATATTACACTAATAAGCACGTTAAGCATACAACACTTCATCATTATTCAAATAAAATCAGTAAAGCAATAAGTAAATTGATCGGAAACTAAATTTGGCATTTAATTTAACGCAAAAAGCTTGTCTTTTTTGTTAAATACAAAATAATTGCAGCATAAAATCAAACAAAAAAATTGATTTCTTTCATTCATCTCTGGGTTATTGCTCACTATCTGGCGCCATTTAAAGTAACAGGTTAGTGTTATGTTACACACCCAATTAACATTTTTAACAACAAAACATAATTCAAATAAATTCTATTTACTTTAAGAAGTTAAATACTAATGGTTGGCTATAAAACTGTGGAAACAGCTAGAGGTGCCAAAATTGGAGTTCAACTGACGGAATATAAATATTACTTTTGAAAATTTCGAATACAATGTATGTATATAAATATTGTACAAAATAATTATATAACAATAAACTAGAGATAACAATATATTGTAATGCCGTTTCCTAAACAAAAAATGTGTCTCCTTAGTTAATTTTTCGCACCCTGGCGCCACCCGCAGTAAGATGTTAATGCTATTTCACACCCAATTAACATTGTTTACAGCTTATAACAGACATTTGAAATAGTTTCAAAATCGAAAGTTATAACAGCTTATGCACACTATCGAGCAAGCTGTAATCAAGTTAGCAACAACAACAACATATAGGCCATTACAGTAAAGTTTTCACTCCCCCTCCCTTTCGACGCTAAACATATCAAAACAGCAAGTAAATTGTACTTTAAACAACATTTAACACCCGGAAATAAACAAATACATACAGTAGCAGTAACAGTAACAGCAGCGGCAACAGAAATAGCAACAACTATAACAATGCAAGCAAATCAAGAGCAACCGGACGGGCGGGCGACAAGAGTCAGTGAATGGTGAATGAAATTTTTGGGCGCGATAAACGAGAGCGAAGCATAAAAACAACAACAAATCATGTAAGAAAGTGGCGACGGATAGCACAAAAGGAAGAGAGAATAAGTGTGGGAGGTGCTGGTGGAGGGGGAGAAAGAGTAAGATAAAAGGCCAAATTAACAGTGGCCGCCGCAACGAAATAACCTGCACAATAACGGCACTTCCACACACAAAATCATAAATAAAAGCTTTAAAAATATATACATACATATGTATACGTATGTACATGTGTATTGAAACTTACATCACACAAACACAATCGCAGCTGTAGTTGTAGCCAGAAACAGTAACAGTAGCAATAACAACAACAACAACAGCAGCAATTGCGGCAAATGGTAAAATAATGCAACTTGTTTGTTGTTGTTGCTGTTGTTGTGGTTGGTAAATGTTGTTGTAGCCTTGTCGACGACGCCACGGCCTGGGCGCTCCAATTTTCGTTGTAAATTTGATTTATTTTGGGTTGAAATTTTTTTCGATTTAGCTGCTCTTTTTTGCATTTAGCGAGGGGTTATAAAAAAGAAATTAATGGAAAAGAACGAAAAAAAAACGGGCACAGCGGCCTAAATTGACGCGACAAGAGGCAGACTTGTATTGAATTTGGCGTTCTTGTTGTTGTTGTTGTTGTGGAGCATACGGGAGCTCCATGAATGAAACCGGGCGTTAAATGTGCGCGATTAAAACACAAAAGGCGTGACGCGAACGCGACCGACCTGAAGAAACGAGTTTTCTGTTTTTGTAAAAGATAAAAATGTAAGATGTCGACGGACCGGACAGCAGCATCAGCAGCGGCGGCGGCGGCGACGGCGACGGCAGCAGCAGCAGCAGCAGCAATGGGCGAGTGTGGGGCTTAAACACCGAAATGTAAAAAGCATAACATTTCAAAATTTACAAAAACAAATATACACGCACATGCACACAAATACAGTAACAAAGAGACAGACTCATACTCAGTGGAGAGAGTGCCAGCAGCTGATTTTTCGGGTCGGGAAACAAAATTTAACTATTTACAACAAATATACTCGTATATGGAACATATAAGGAATTGTTGCCGATGCTAAATTTAATTGCTTTTTTTATGCAGGTGACACACACACACACACACACACAGCCACACACTCAGTGGAGAGAGCGCCAGCAGCTGATTTTTCGGGTCGTGCAACAAAACTTATCATTTTGGTGCAACAACAAATATGCATGATATTGTTGCTGTTTCTATTTAGGCGACACACACAAACTAACAATCATACACATACAGCCATACAGACAGGTATGCAGAGCAGCCGCACGCTTTGTATTTTTTACATTTGTTTTTATATTTCACTTGTTTTGCTGCTGCCGCTGCGGTTGCCTTTGCATTTAGCTTATTTATTGCATTTTGAACGCTTTAATTTTACACACCTTGATACACTAACACACACGAACACGCAACGTTGTGTTTGTTGTTATGCTTTTTCTTAATTTTGCGCAAATTTCATTTTGTTTTCTAATTTTTCTGCATTATTCCGCAGACACTACCAACCGTCTGGTTCGAAAGCAATTTAACACAAAGAGCGAACTGTGTATTATATTAAAGGCACGAAATGGAGTCCACACGTGTGGATGCGCAACTCAGCCACGATTGTTGCTACCTCGCTCACTCTACAGACCGGCATGTAAGCACTTTGAATGCGTTCTCTGTTACGCCGCTCATTTAAAAGTGAATTAAGAGAGCGCTAAATGATTGCAATCCACAACATTTCAAGAGAAACACAAAGCAAGCGGCATTTCTTTGATTTAAATAAAACAATTTTGATTAATGATAATAATGTAATGAAACATTTGTATTACCTATTTAATGAAAACTTGTTCTTTTTTATAAATTACTATTGAATTAAATTTTCTTCGCGATTAACAAATTATTTTATATATACATATAAACGTCGATTAATACAATCATTTGATATACAAGTATTAAAGTAAATAAATAAATGGGTAATGACACAAATTTGTAAATTTAATTAAATATGATAAGTAGGGCTGCGTTTCAAAAACTTTTTATTTAGTTAACATAATATTCGTTCTATTTATGCTACACCCTACCTTCCAAGAATAATACATAGAATTAGTTTACAACTTAATTGTTTTATTGAAATTTGATTTATAAAAAAAAACATTTTAAATTAATATGAAATAAACAAATTGAATCTAAGAGTAAACTCTCTTAAATTAAATTTCACAAAAGGAATAACTACTGTAACTCTTAAGCACCATTAATAGTGTTGCCAATTGACTACAGCTTGAATTCACAGCTGTTCGCGCCTAACATACTCGCTAGATGGCGATTTGAATTTTTTGAATTTATATTGCATGCTCTGTTAAGTGTATGTTAATTAAATAAATAAAATAAAACAAATTTATGATTTGATATGGGAACAAAACTATGATATTGTATTTAAATCAATCAAGTGATTAATTAATACCATTATCAATTTTTTGCGGCTTAAGTCTGCAATGATTTCAAATTTTCAAAATTTTATTTGAGGTTCTTAAATCTAATTATGTTTTTAAACTTGAACAAATTCAAAGTGAATTGAAAAATTAGACACTTAGAAAAATAGAATTTAATTTAATTTCCTACTGAAAATAAAACTGTGTCTAAAATTAATTGTTTAAATTATCATTATTTTCATTAGCTTGTAAAGGCAAAGCAAATATTGAGATTGAAGTCTTTAAATTATCATTATTTTCCTCGATTTTTAAAAGCAATAGAGTTAATTAATAAATGCGTGTTCTCTGGCTGTGTTTGCTGCTCTGTTTTGAACAGTTGCCGATAAATTCAAGTCAGTTTGCAAACTTTTGAACGCGCAACTGCCTGCTCCTGGTAATTCGTCTTGCTCCGAATTGTAATGGCTGCACAATTTTCAATGTTTTCAATGTTTTCTGCGTGCAAACAGCCAGCAATTGGCCAACAATCGGAAGAAGAAACCTGCCAAACGCTTCACCGGCCAACAGCCAACAATTACAACATCAATCAAATGACTTTAAACGGCCGCACAACGACGCTCGCAAAATTCCACAACGTCTAATTGAACATAATAAGCAGCAAAGCTACTCCTTTTTCTGACACGGCACACCAATATCCGCGCACACACATCTCGGCCCGTGTGTGAGTACACTGGGAGAAAAATTCGACATTGCAGGGAATGTTGCATTTAAAATATCTTCTAATTCGTAGTTTTGAAACCAGGAATCTCCCAGGATTTCCCTCTATGTTTTGATAGTTTTACCTGTGGAGAAAATTAGTGAGCTGTTCTGGGTTTCTTAAAAGGTACCTGAATTTGTATTCCTTATCTATTATCTCACATCTCCTCGTTTGTTTCTTTTCAAGATTGATGAGCAGAACTTTAAAATTAATGAATAACCTGAACATGTTAAGTATTTAAAAGTTCAAGAAACACCTTCTATGACAGACTTACGATCTTTCCTTAAGAACTTCATTTATAATCCCAAAAATCCAAAATCCAAAAATCCATTTCAAAAATATTAACATAATATATCTGGGCCTAATCTTTACTTTTGCCTAAGCAAAGCTGTTTACCACAAAATAATTTTGTATTAAATATGATTGCGACTTAAAAATATTTATTTATTAGTTCCAGTTCCGAAAACCGAAAAATTTAATGTCTTTGCTGTGTTGGCTTGAATGAGATATCTTATGAATTCTGGAGAAGCTGCCGATATAAGGTATGGATCAAATCATTTGTTACTTACCAGCTCTGACTTCCTAGAAGATCTTACTGATACAACAAAACTGGAGATCGTAAAGTTAGCCAACTTCATTAGCAGTTCCGGATGGTCGAAGCCAAATCCCTAAAGCCAAAGAGAACTAAGTAACCTGATTGGCCCGAGTGAAGGGACGTTTAAGCCGCTTCAGCCATATCTAAATAGTCTCTAAGCCAGTTTCAGTTCAATAATTTGTTGTATTCCGATTTATTTATATAGAGTTATAGGACTTCAAGCTATAACCCAACAATTCAAATCGGTTATAAAAGTAACTTAAAAATCGAGCTCAAATCACATTCAAAATGTTGCATCTAAAATGTATTTCACTAGCTATTGACTATGCTTTTTCTCTCAGTGTATGCATCATTAATTCAAATCATCAGCTTGCGTGTGTGTGTGTGCTTGTGTGTTTGTATGCTGGAAACAATCAATCAATCGTTCAGCAAACTTTTTTGCAACCTAACATTTCAATTGCAGGCAAAGTTTCCTCCGAGCATGCAAATTCTTAGCCGTTTGGCGATGGAGTTGGACGGAGGCGGGGGAGCGGAGTGGAGTTGAGTGGAGCTGATGACTAGTTAGCCAACGTCTGTTGACTGAAATGCTAAATATAATGACTCCAATGTGCGGCTATTTAGCAAAATGGTTATGTTTTTTAATGACGGAACAGCTGCAGGCGATGCCAAAGAAAGCTGTGTGGGGAAGAACATAATGTTTATTCATTAAGAAAGATTTGATTTGGAATTGGAATGGAAATTGGGGGCAGAATAGAGACCAGAGTTGCACAGATTTTTCAAAAGAATCAAGAATCGCTATTTGCAATTCGCGAATCAATTCGTTTTAAAACAAGACTTACGTGATAACAAATTATTTTGTAACAGCAACATAATACTCGCCCAATAGTGCCCAATAATTCTCTATTAAATAGGGTGCTTGTAGTGCCGTACCTAAAACTGTATTAAGTGTGGACCTCCCATAATAGCTAAGTGATATGTTATGGCCAAGATTGCAGGCCGATTTATTATCATTGTTGCGATTTGTAATTATCGGAAAAAATGATTGGAAAAACAAATTTCCAAATACAGTCTCTAAATCCGGCTCGAACAAGTAAAATAATGAGATCACAACTTCAATTACTGAATTGAAAAACTTAACTAATTTTGTTTTTCAAAATTCAAAACTTATACCAAACATTCATTTCTTATTAGTCCGTTGATACCTTCTTAAGGTTGTCGATGATAGCAATTACAGAATATTTTAAAATATTATGTGACACATTCATTTAGTTCTTAGGGAGTGTCTTTGAAAACTTCACATTCACGATTGGATACAATTAAATCTCCTAGTCTATATACTTACTATATGTACTTATTTAAACAATCAACCAAATAAACAAGTTTTCTACAGGAAAGGGAAGTTCAATTTGTGCTACAAGTAAGTAATTTTATAAATAATATAAGAATACCATTATTTCTTATTTTCAACAATCAATAATACTTGTAAAAGCAAGCAATTACAATGTTTGAAAGAACGAATAATATTTCCGAACTATTTTTCGTTCTTTCAAACATTGTAATTGTCATTATGTCCTAAAGAGATTCAATTATCTTTCCATCTCCAATCCTAAATTTTTGAATAGCTTCCGCACACATTTCTTTCTGGCTATTGATTACCATTTTAATGTGCTTTCTAAAATAATTAAACATACTTGTAAAAATCAGCTTTAAATCAATCTAATTCTCGTACAGCAAAGACCGATAAGTAACTTTTTATTCCGCGTATCCGAAGGGCGTCCCTGTATTTGTTTTCTGTAAAGTTGTCACAGAGAAGAATGAGAAGCATCTCCGATTCCATAAAGTATATATATTTTCAATCAACATGGGGAGGTGATTTTTGTCTGTCTGGATGAACGCCTCGATTTCGAAAACGACTTACCAAACTTGTTATGCAGACTCTCCTAATATGCAGGAAACACGAATTTATTTTATTTTTTTGATGTTGGCTTTTCTTCAGTACATTGGAAACGCTTTAAATTTTTCCTAAAGCAGAGTCGGAAACAAAATCAAGCATCATTTTAGGATACTTCTAGCCCTCTGCTCCTGTTGTCTACTTAAAAAATGCTTAACCAGCCAGGTTTTAAAAATTTCATGTTTCAGGAAGTCTCTCTTTGATGCAGAAATATGTTTTGTAAAAGAAATTAGGAATTAGGTGGTATGCTGGGTAAAAGCAAGTTAATTAATAATTGCTGATCTTTTCTTCCATTATCTTTTCAATATTCAAGAGAATGGAGTCAATTTTATGAGCTACTTATCGCCTTTATTTGGGAACGCTTATTATTCTTGGATCGAATTTAAAGGGTATAATGATTTTATTATAAATATTACGATAAAATCAATCTTGAGAAAGCTTGGAGAATGCTATTCTTGCATCGAATAGGGCTCAAATATCAAGCCCACTATAGTACTGTGCTTACGTGAATGAAGTCTAGTTTGGGATCAAATCAGAATAACTGAACCAATATCCTTTTGTGAATGATTCACACAGCAATTACTTGATTCAAACAAAAATCTGACAATGATAAACACTTGGCATGTGTAAAAATTATAATTCAATTGCCATGCATGGATGAAATGGAACAAACAGATTGAAATAGAAATTGACACGCACAAAGAATGTTAGATTAATGCAATTTTTAATCAGCTATATACATTTTTAAGTGGCCTCTTTAATGAACAAATTTGATTTTAATTGATTTAGATTT